GGTTCAATTTTCTATTTTCACTCCATGATTCACAAAGAAATGTTCATATCTGTAAGAGCCGTATTACTTATCCCATTAGACACCAAGAAAGCAGAAAAAAAAATTGTTTTTTGGTGATACCCGTAAAAATTCACAAAATCGCACTTAAAACACTTTTCACAAGTGATAAGATTTTAATGAAATTTGACTTCTCCTAGAGGCTTTACAGATAGATAGATAGAAAATAAATTTTATTCTAGGACGAGGTCCCTTATGAATACCAATTATGAACAAAAAAATAAAAACCACATCTGGCCAAAAATTACATTAATCAACATTAAAGAATATATACAGTATCTTCAGTGTAAGTATATTAAAATAAATAAAAAATATACCATTATTTAAATGAAAAGAAAACAGAAATCCGGTAAAATAAAAAACAAAATAATATGAGCACGTGTTGATTTTTAAAATTAAAATCGCACAATTTCAACCACCATTTACCTCACTCAAAATTTGTTTCACAATATTTATTTCATTGTACAACGTCATTTTGGAATGTGAGAAGGAATTGGTAGAGATGATATTTGAATGAGGACAGGGATATATATATATATATATATATATATATATATATATTGAAGTAATTATTATAATATGAAATAAGGTCATTAAATCATCATAGCATATTTGCTAAGAGCCGTAATGACTAGTGAAAGGAACCCGATCATTGCACCAAGTTTAAACATTCATAAATGTCTATTCTCCTATCAACCTACCGAGATGTTTCAGTAGATAAGGAAGTACATTCCATCAGGGTGGATAAAATTTTCCAGTTTCTGGAATCTTTTTTTTTTTAATTAAAATATATTTTTTTATATGTTTATTTATTTTTAGTATTATTATTTTGATTTTGTTTTATTTAATTTATTGTACATAAAGTGTGAATGAAGTCCATCTATCGATATTCTTAGTTGTTATAAAATAAAATGAATAACTTTATTTTGAGGCTAAAGTCTCCTAAGAATAATAAAAGAGTTAAAGAAATATGTGCATCAGTATTATATATATTGCTTATAATATTATTAAATAATGAAACGTTAAAATAAATATTTTATTTACCAAAGTAGAATTTGTAATTTTGTAAGTCATACTAAATCCTGTAAAGATTTCTAGCTAGTTGCTAAACACAGTATCGATTCGGAACCAGGAATGAGACCATTTATCCGCTTGGAGTAATGAACAACATAGAGTCAGGGAAAAAAGAAAAAAAAAATGGCGCGCCGGGGGAATACAAATGTATTCATTCAAACGGGGAAGAAAGTAATGTCCAAACCATGGCGGCTAATAAAGAGCTCATTCGTTCTCGACTCTTTGTCTCGTCTCTTATCGTGCCTTCTTTATGACGTCGGCCTCTTTGTCCCTCGAGTGAACAATGACTGGTCAAGGTACATCCACTCTACCTCGGCTGGAAATATAGAGAGTCAAATCACATTCTCTTATGTATGTAGATCAATCATAATAGCCAATGGATTATTTTTTTAACTTAATTTTTTTTTACCCACACCTGTAAGAAATACTGACGATTAGCGAGTTTGCTGTCGATAAAATACTAATTGTGGCTTAATTGGCCTGAGAGAAAGGAGTGCCCTTCTTGACTTGAATTCTGTATATTTTTAGGATTGTTGAACAAATCCGTTACCTAAGACTCCAGCTGGACAAACAACTCACATGGAATTGAGACTGAAACGACAAGAAACCGCTCGACGTTTCCGACTACTCCGGCACCTACTAGACAAACGCTCTAAGCTTCCAATTAATTACAAACGACTCATATATATGACAATAATAAGACCTATTTGGACTTACGGAATTGAGCTTTGGGGCTCCACTAAATCATCGAATTCCTCTCGTATCCAATCCTTACAACCCAAACTCATCAATGCTCCTTACTTTGTCACAAATAAAATCATCCTTAACGATGATGATAATGTTCCACATGTTTCCGATTTGTCCCAATCCAGATACCTATCCTTTCATAATAAACTTCATAACCATCCTAATCATCTCGTTTCAAACCTTGCTTCCTCCTCGATCCCTGATAACTCTCCGATGCGTCTGCAAAAAAGGTTGTGCAAATTTATTTCATGTTATTATATTCTTGAGTGCACATTTACCAGTTGAATTTATTTTTATAATACAGTTGTAAATATCAATGAAATAATTTAAAAAAAATTTTTTGAATGAGGAAATCCCTCACACATCTTCTTTTGAGCCTTCGAATGGTGTTATTGGGGATATTAATCGTAGTCATGTCTTGTATCAGTGTGTTAGTATGTCTATGTAAGTTATTGTGAATTTTTTATAGTGTGTCCGTATATAGTCGTTAACTTTTGGAATGCATAAAGACCTAAATCTATATGTAATGTAATGTTTGTGACGTACCATGGAGCTTTAGTTATAGTCCTTTAAATTTTTGACTCAAAGGTTTGTAGTTTTCGTGATTGAACAGCTAACGTGATTGATTCGTGATTGAACAGGGTGTCCATCGCCCCCAAGGTCGATGGCGCATGAGCCCTCCCTTTCCTCTACAAAAATTGTATTTCTCTCCTCTTCCTAAAAACAATGCAAACGAAAGTAGGATTCGACAAATTGTAGATCATATATATACCGTGGTACAGACCTCTTTTATGGAATTATTAAAATCCACCTTCGTACTGAAACTTCGTAAATAGTTTCAACTCTTGGAATTGGGTTTTTTTCAATCTGGAGGGAGGCAACCTTTGTCTATTTAATTAGGTACTAAAAACTCGTAAATATCCATTTGCTTTATACTTGGATCGTAAAATAATTTGATCACGAAATCCATAACAAATGTGGCCTACAACAATATTGGGCGGTTTGTCCAATGTAACCTTGTTATTTTGAAAAATATGGGGTGTAAGCCACGCCAAACGGCTCAATATTTTTTAAGGCTACTTTTTTTCGATTTTGTGACCAAATTATCTTACGATCCAAATAGAAAGAAAATGTGTATTTACGAGTTTTTATTACCTAATTTAATAGACAAAGTTTGCCCCCCCCCCCTCCCCTCCAGATTGCAAACGCCCCAATTCCAAGAGTTTTCGTTAATATAATAGTTGTAGGTTACGATGAGATGAAACTGTTTACGAAGTTTCAGCCGGATTTTAATAATTCGATAAAAAGGAGTTCCAATCCTACTTTCGCTTGCATTGTTTTTAAGAAGAGGAGAGAAATACAACTTTTGGAGGTAGGGGGAAACGCTCATGCGCCATCGACCTTGGGGGGATGGACACCCCTGGCTATTCATTCATTTATTTATAACAATGGTGGACTCCTCAACCGCTTACAGGCCAATCTAGCCTTTACACAGTTTTTATATTACATAAGATAAAATTTAACAATAAACTTGAAAGTAAAAAATATTTAAAATATTAAATTTCAGAAGAGGTGTAAGTAAAAATTAGTTGTTATTATATAGTTGCGTTATTTGAAGAGATAAAAACAATTTATTTGCCATTTTGGTGGTGTTTTTCAAAATTTCAGTAATATTATTTTCCGATTCCACTTCATTCCGTTGTGCTTCATAGCACTCAGTCAAGATGTGCCTGACTGTTAAATTGACCCGCAGCAGAGACATTCAGGGGATGTTCCCTTTGTCATTAGGTGAGCTGTTCATTTAATTACATATATATTGAGCTCCGGTAACCTACTATTCTCCTAATACAAAATAGAGATTTACATCCTGGTGTCTTCGTTGCAATATTGAGCTCTTGTAACCTACTATTCTCCTAATTCAAAATAAAGATTTTAGAAAAAATATTTGTACGGAAAATGGCATTCATCTGGAAGAGGTAGTTTGATTTTACCTAGGTGACAGCAGTTATTTTTCGATCTAGACATTTTCTCCTTGAATGCAATATATTAATTATTATGAAATAGAAAAAGAAGCGGAATATAACGTACAATAAAAATAATAGTAATAAAAGGGCAAATTGATATTGGACTTATATGAATCTGGACAAGTTGAATATAAATTATGGTTACATTTTGGCAATAAGAATAATTATAATTATATACTAATATAAATTAACAATAAGGCGCGATGTATAATATAGGTTTTTGAAGATATTAATGCTTTAAGGGAACTATGGTTTCATTATTCATTATGTTGACAAAAATAATACAATCTGAATTAGAGAATATATGTAAATTACAATTATACAATTTAAGTAACAAAAAAAAAAAAAACTGTACCACTACAACCCATCAAGGGTCTTGGGTCCAGTACTATTTAGAGAAAGCACTGTTTCTATGTCAACAATTGTGCAAAAAGGTGATTTGACCGAGATCACGCTCAACCGCCAGGTTTCTCCCCTTAATCAATTATTTAATTAAAGGTACCCACTTAATAGAGGCTGGATGTGCCCCAGGAGGGTCTCCCGCCCAGGGTCGCCCCACGGCCAATGAAACAGATAAATAAATTTTCTGCCATGAGCCAGGGTTCGGACCTGGGACCTTTAGCATTGGAAGCTCAGTGCCCTACCACTCAGCTACCCCACTCCCTAATTTAAGAAACGAGTAGTACAATTAAGTGAACAGTTGTATAATAATTGAACTTGTTGAATTATTATGTTTTTTTAATATTTATATAGTATAAATGATGTAGAATGTAATATGAGAAGAAATTGGTGGGGGGGTGCGGTAAAATAAATACTAGATTATTTAAAAATTATTATTAATATTATATTGGTGCTATTTAAAAAATGCTATTTTTAAATAATCTAGTATTTATTTTACCGCACCCCCCCACCAATTTCTTCTCATATTACATTCTACATCATTTATACTATATAAATATTAAAAAAACATAATAATTCAACAAGTTCAATTATTATACAACTGTTCACTTAATTGTACTACCCTGACCAATTCCTTCTCATATGTTATTGCTGTTATTGATTTTTTTTATAATGTTGGCTACGTTATTTCTCTGTTGCAGGAAGGAATGAGAGGAGGCAGAGATGTCTAGTGATGCGGGTGGTAGCATTGATCGTCTTCCTGCTTCGAGAGTGCCTGTGCTGTCCCCCGACCTGCGACTGCAAGTGGAAGAGCGGGAAGGAATCCGCCATCTGTGTCCGCAACAACCTCACCCACATCCCCAAGGGTATCGACTCCTCCACTCAACTCCTCGATCTTACCGGCAACAGGATATCCGCCATCGAAAAGGACGCCTTTGACAAAGCCGGTTTATTCAACCTGCAGAAGATATATCTTGCCAAGTGCGGATTGAGGGACATGGACCGCTTCGCGTTCAGGCGACTTACTAACCTCGTCGAGCTAGATCTCAGCTATAACTCGATCACCTCCGTGCCATCCCACATCTTCGACTCCATCTCTGAACTCAGAGAACTGAAACTCACAGGAAACCTCATCCAAAGGGTATCCAACGAGGCCTTCATTAACGTCCGGCAATTGGTGAAACTCGAATTGTCCGAATGCCGCATAGTTTCCCTCGAACCAAGGGCTTTCTCCGGACTGGAGAAAAGTCTAGAGTGGCTGAAACTGGAAAAAAATAGACTTGTTGAAGTTAGACCTAGCACTTTTACGAATCTATCTAATCTCCATGGGCTGGAACTCGCGGGAAATCCATGGAATTGTTCTTGTAGACTGAGACCACTTCGGCAGTGGATGTCCATCCAGAATGTCCCCAGTAGTACTCCGGCGTCCTGTAGTCATCCGAACAGGTTGCGGGGGAAGACCTGGGACCGCCTGCAGGACAACGAGTTCGCTTGTACTCCAGTAATGCATCGGGCGAGAAATTCCGTAGTTCAAGCTGTGGAGGGAACAAACGTCACGTTATCTTGTCTTGTTACCGGGAACCCAACGCCTACGGTACGATGGTTGTGGAAAAACCGTCCCATTGCCAACGTATCGGGGATTCCCAGCCACAGGAAGCTCTATATCCTGCATTACAATGGTAGCAGGAGTACATTAACGGTGTACTCTGCGGAAATTGCCGATGCTGGGGTTTACTTCTGTGTGGCATCCAACAAAGCAGGTCGTGTCCAGGGTAATGTTACCTTAGCGATATCAAGGAGGCGGCCCGAGAGTAAGCTAACCGGAAAAGTGTTGATGGTTGGGGCTGCTATGGCCTTTCTCCTCTTCATGGTTTCCGGCTGTCTCTTTTGTATCTTCGGTCAGCCGAGGAAACCGCCGCGGATCAACCAAGCTGAGAATTACGAAAAAATAGAGATGGAGAAGAAAGGAGAATCCTGTCTCTCTGAAAATCAGCCTAACAACAGGATCCATCCTACCTTATGTGAATATAGGGGCGTTCCAGCTGAAGACATTGAAGAAGAGACTGCCCAACCTTCGCCTATGCTAGTTCCCAATGCATCCAATGCCTCCAGGTTAGTGTCTTTGTAATTTTAAAATTATGTTTTTTTAAGTATTTCCAAATATAAAAAACTTCACACTAACTTGTCTTATATCAATCCACCATTACTTAACAACCATCAGAGTTTTGAAAAAATGTAAATCTCTTTTATAGTTGTAGTAAGAATTAAAGGATGGAAATTAAAGAGCATAGAGGATGGATTATTATATCGTGGAATGTTTTTTTATTTTATTTTACACCTCGTTGGTCAAAATTCAACATTTTTCAGTTTAGATTTTTGGTTTGAGACATACAGAAACCTGTCAGAACCACAATATTCTAGTAGTTACTTATGCATACTTGGATCTCCTCCAATTTAGTATTTATTTTTATTAAAATAATAATTTGTTAAAATTTTAAAGAAGTCTAGTTGCTAAAATTTAACCAAACGTAGTAAGATCACAGACAATTCAAACAATAAAAATTTTTATTCTTATAATTTCGAAATAACTATAATTAACATTAACTCATTATATTAACTGAATGAAGCTCAATACATTCAAAAAGCATAAACAATTATTCTTTACTTCTTTATTACTGAGTTATTGTAGAAAATTCAAGTACAGCCCCTCTTTTAGGATGGATTCTTCTTTAAATTAAATTATAATGTTTTTTATTCAATTTACTTTATATTTATTCATTGAGAAGTCTAATTTTTTATAACAGTAATGCGTGACACTTTGATAGGACTCACCTGCAGCTGACCGATGACCTGATTGGAGTGCAGCAGCACATTCTCCGGAAAGAAATCCTTCCAACGACAAGCCTTTATACGACAGCTGCTCCGGATGACAGTAGCATCCCGGATGTGATCACCAACCCTACGTCTATAGTCACAGCTGCTGCAACTTTACCCAGATTCAGGTTCTTTTGTTAATCATTTCTAATATTGTAAAATCTAAGATATTTTCTTAAGTGCATGAAAGGTAGCCACTGATGATCTCTCCAAATATAACTATTTACTGAACAAACATTATTATTACTTTTACATCATTTATGATTTATGAAAATTAGATTTATATATTTTTATTTATATTTTAGATTAGATTTATAAATCTTCTTGGTGTTTTCCTTTAACAAGTCCTTAGAACCAAAAACCCTCCCTACATCCTAGAACTCCTTACTATATGTTCCTATATCAGATCTCAACATATTGATTTATCTTTTGAAACTCTTTACCTATCTCCATGCATCAATCCTTATCCACAAATTCCTTCAAACAACTCATATTCTACCGCCTACTTCAGCTTTGAACTTCTGCACCTATGTAAGATTCTGTAATTACAATTTCTCAATAACGATTAACAGATAAGGACCATTTGATTTTTTTTTTTTATACTATATAATTCAATTAACTGTATAATTTCAAATGCAATTAACAGATAAATGACATTTGCCTCTTTGTACTTTCTCAAACCAGACTAACGGGCATATTTTTTTAAATTCTGTTATTATTTTAGGGGACTTCTGTCCCAGAATACAACTTTTTTTTTTCATTTCATTTAATATTTGTATTCGGTAGTTTCCTTTTTTTAAAAAAAAAAGATAAACTAATATTCAAATATTCCAAGTATAATGTGAATAAAATTTTAGAAAATTGGTATGTTTGAAATGTAAATATACGAAAGGAGATCTATTAACCTTTGAAATCAATAATCTTTAAAGCAGGAGCACAAAAAATTTAATCCTTACTTTTTCTTCATTCCTTCAACTTTATGTTTTTCTCTATTATTTATTTATTTTTTGATTAAACAGCTGATTATAGTGGAAATTATCAAGTAGATGCTAAGGAATTTCAGTAACATGTTGGTTTCTTAAAGAAAGAAAAAAACTGGCAGATTCACTGCATCTTTTTAAACAACATTTTTTTTTTTATTTAAGGGTCTCTTCTTCATAAATTGAACTTTCCTTTAGGCAAACTCCTCCCTCAGTCGGTTCCTTCATTTTTCCCTGTCTGTCGCTTCCTCCTCTTTCAGCCGTCGGCCCACCATACTCTCAGCCATATCTCTCCTTCTGACATGAGGTGTTCCTCTCCTTCTTCCCTCGGCCTCCCCCTCAAATGCCGTTCGCTATTCAAAGGTTGGAAAGTCGTTCGCTATTCAACCTTTTCATATGTCCATACCACTTTAATCTTCTTTCTTTAATGATCTCATTTCTGATTCTTTGCGTCCTTGAGACTCTGGACGACTTCCGAAATTCCATCTTCACAGTTAGAAATCGTTTGCTCTATGATTTCTCAAGCAGCCACATTTCTGAACTGTAGAGCATTTACCAGTACTGTAGCTCTCTACTAGAACCTTATATATTAATTTCTTTACTGTAGTATAAATATTTTCACTCCAGAGCACTGAATTAAGCATAGCAACCTATCAACCTCTTTCCGTCCACTTGTCACTCTTTTTTCAATATCCTTCCTCACTCTTCCATTGCTTTCAAGTTGGACATCATTACCTTATTATTAGCATAATGGTGAATAAGAAATTATTATTTTTGAAACCCCCAATCTAGGATATAAAAATCTTGTTATTTTTATTTATTGTATTATTTGAAAATGACTGAGAAAAACTATAATACTCTACTTTCATCATCTCTCACCTGTAAATTATAAATAATAATGTTCTTAATTATTTTTTCTTTCTAATAATGCACTCTTGCTAAGTATTATGAATCCTCTAGAAAGTTTCATTTCTTCACAATGAACCATTTAGTCACTTTTGCAAAAAAAAAATTGTTTTTTTTTTAATAACTGGTGATTTCAATATGATGATGGTCAGAATTTTATCCGCACTTTTTATTGCTAAGAAATTCAATCTAAAAAGCGGCCAGTTTTGGGAGAATGGTCTGTATTCTAAGATCACAATAATCAAAAATCGGGTGAGCGCAACACCCAACTTTCACTTACTGCTCTAAATTGAACCAAAATTATTTTCTGGCAACATTATATTCTGGCTATTATAAAATGTTTGAAGTGCATTTTAAATCGGGCTGCAGCTTAAAGAATATAGCTAACAAATCATTAAGACCGTTAAAATAACAAAAATCCTGTTTATTATATCAACGGTTGATTATGGATTGTATGACTATTAATTATTAAACAGTTATTTTTAATAGCAAAATTTACTAAAATGGAATTACAAGATTTGCATTGCTTGTCATAGATAGGTCAAACGTTGCCACACTAATTGTAAGTGGATACTCTTGGGATATCACAAAGAGAATGTTTATAAAATTATTCAATAATTTAATTTTCTAAAAAATTACATGACAATTTTTTTGAAATAAACAGACGATAGATACTTAATTATTTAAATATAATATCACATCTAGAGTTATTAAACTACAATAAATGTATGTATAAGGTTATATACATATGAAATATTTTTACATTTCACTTCTTCTTTGACACAAGTACAATGAAATAGTATTGTTAACAATGTTATTGCCTTTATTTAGTGGATTTGAAATACTTTTTCCAAACTTAAAAAAAAAGTTTAAAGTTTACATTTAGTAAGAAAATTTCTTTTAATTTGCTTGGAAACATGTGATTTACGTTAAATAATGTTATTTTTCATTAATTATTATATATTTTATATTTATATTTTTTCATCACTCTCTGTTACCTTCTACAACTTTATATATTAGATATTATTTTTTCTGAAATTCTCCACTTTCCAACGATATATCACACGTATACCTTGTGACTATTATTTTCGGAGATTCATTTTAGACCTGAATAAGCATTTTTCTCCTTTATTCAATTATCAATTTTTTCAAAAGTTATACAAACCCTTTTTTCATAACTCTTAACAATGAAATGAGAGATAGTTAATTATTTAAAATAAAATAAATTAAAGGTACTTTAGAAGAAGACAATTTGAACACCTGGCATTTAAGCCCTGTTAAGTGACATCAACATGAATAAGACCTAAATGATATGAAAGATTACTTAATTATACAATGATACACCGAGTTTAACCAAAATCATTAGAGCTGTTTTTGAGAAAATCTTAAAAATGTGTTACATAGATGATATAAAGTGCCACTTCCGTTTAGCCGATTTTGACGAAAAAGTTGCTGTAACATCTTAATCATATACAAACCTTAAATACGCAATTTCAGTTATGTAAGACTTTTCGTTTTTGAGCTAGACTGTTCACATACACACACATAGACCATTTTTTTAGACTTAGTTATTTGGAGTCAGGGGATTCCCACTGAAATCTAGGTTTCGAAAATGTTTACGACGATAATACTTTTCCTTACTATATATTTTATATATTGGTAAGTGAGAGTAAAAATATATGTTCAACACCATTTTTTTTTTTCTGTCCTAGATCCAAGGATTGGTATCCAAATGTGTCCAGCAGCCAATCGCCCTTGCTAGCTGGATCAGCCAGCGGATCTAGCCCTGGAGAAATGAGTATCAGTAGGAGGTACTCTATAGAATCGAGAGCATCCGCCCGTTACAAGTATATGCTACTTTAATCTACTTTACAAAATATTTCTGTTCTTAATAAATTAATAAAATATAATTTCTTCATTTGGAAGTTTTCCAGTATTATTCTTAGATAATTTGTGATGATTGGAGTATAAAACCACCAGAGATGTTTCATGTACATATATATTTTGAATTTTAACATTTCTGAGTTCTATTGTCATTTAGCCATTTCTGTATCTAATTTATCCAATAATCTTATGTATTTTTTATCTAAATTAAGAGGAATAAATATACCTACAAAAAATAATGTTTCAAATATTTTATTTATATGATGAAATCTAGTATAATTATTTATTTTATTTTATTGTATTTATTTTTATTTTATTTTATTGTATTTATTATTATTAAGTTTCTGTATTATTTTTTTATTTATTTTTTATTGTAAATAGAGTGTGAGTGTGCTTTCTCTGAGCACTATTATAAATGTCCTTGATGTGACAGAATGTAATATTTCTAAATAAACAATTATTAAGTATGGATAAATGACCAGGGCTAAGGAGGAGAAACCAAGGCCTCCATGATTAATTTTCCTGGGCCTCCTTAAATAATAAATATATCACTAAAAACAAGCTGCAGTATTTTATGCAACAAAATTATTATATTAAGATATGAAGAGAAGGGTGGTTGGGATGATCAGTCAGAAATAAAAAGGCAAAAATAAATGATAATATTTATTTTAACATTTGCCGATGTTTCGACCTGAAGTTCAGGCCTTCATCTGGGCTAAGAAAAGAACCAGATAACAAGGTATGAGAAACATAAACAATGTAGGTAAAAAAGTAAGGTGAAGAGGGTAGAATAATGACAATAACAAAAATTAAGAAATAAATTTGCCTTTAAATAAAATAAATTTTGCCTTTTTATTTCTGACTGATCACCCCAACCATCCTCCTCTTCATTATTCACGACAGTCAACCATCAACCCATAATTAAGATATTACTTAACTTATGTAATATTATCTATTCTTTAATTTAAAGTAAAATTATAAAAATGTAATAACAAGTAATTTCTCATAAACTGTTCAAAATAATTAACTTCTAAGTACACTATTGTAAAGTAGACAAAATTTATTTTGAAAATATAGTGATTAAAGTTACGAAGGTCAATGATGAAGGGGATTTTAAATTTACTAAGGTCAATGATAAAAGTGACTTTCAGGAGGTCTAATACTGCTGCAGTTACAGTACCCATACATTCCTTCTCACAGATCCGTTTCGTTCCAAAACTCGTTTATTGCTCGCTCTGTTAATTTCTGGAATTCCCTTCCTATCAAAATTCGGCATTCTCCCTCCCTATCTACATTTAAAACCCTCCTATTCCAATTTCTATCCCCAAAACAGTCAGATACCCCCTCCCCCGCTAACCTTTTATTTTATGTAAATTTACATATTATTCAAAATGTTTCAAATAATGATATATTTACATATAATTCATCACTTAAATATTTATTATCAGATTCGTCTTCTTTTTCTTTCTTTTTTTCTGCAGAAACACAGAGTTTATTGCTAAGAAGAATGTAATGTATTTTTATTTATTTTTTTTAAAAGTGTATACTTAGTTTTACCACTGTACATAGTTTTAAGTGTCTTGGCATGGTTTCAAGTGTTTTGTATATAGATTTTTTTTATTTTGTACGTAGTATGTTTAACCAATATTTTCTCTACTTTTTTCTCTTTATTTTTACTTAGGCCAGATATAATTCTTTAATTTTGTACTTTTTTGTTATTCTAAAGGGAATTCATCCCAGAATAAAATTATTTTCTATTCTATTCTACAGCAGTATATCTCTGCACAGCAGCCGTATTAGTCCTCCTGAAAGTCCCTTTTATTAATGACCATAGTAAATTTAATCACTATTATCTCAAACTAATTTTGTCTAGTTTACGATGGTGTATTTAGAATTTTATTATCTTGAACAGTTTTTGAGTAATTCCTTGTTATTCAATAAAATACATGACCGCCTTAAGAAAAATATAAAATTGATCATAACTCCTTTTCCGTTTGGAATCAACCCATGCATCCAATGAACTTTTTGTTGGAAATTTGATCTACAATCATTCCCCAGAGGTTGGCTATTAAGAACTGAGAGATCCTGTATATGAGTATAGTAAACAATTTTTTTTCATCTTTTTTTTTTTCTTTACATTTGATTTCCCTTTCTTTTCCGTCTGAAATCAATCTTTTTTTTTCATTTTCTGATGTTTTTCAGTTCCAGGCCAAGGAGGTGTGAGAGGTCTGCAAGTTCTTTGGATCTTTTTGAACCAGAACACAAGAGTTGGCAAAGACCCAGCTTACCGCCATCACCGACTAGGTTTAACCCGCACCGGTCTTTCCAGGTTAGTTGAGAAATTATAATAGCTACTAATACTAGTCTAAATATCTAATGAATTATGGCACACAATAGGCCAAAAAGGCGAGATCTTATATTAAAACTTCATTTTGTGTTTAAGTTTTGCTTGATAATGGTTACAGCCTGTAGTGTACCTAGACTATTTAACAGCCCGATTCAGATTTATTTTTGAGACCTTAAAAATATAAAAATTACTTCCAATTTAAATAGTGTTGTTGCATCATATTTATCTAATAAAAAATTATACTAGGTGATTAATAGACAAAGGCAAATAGTCTGTTGTACAGACCCCTTTTTATTGAAGTATTAACATCCGCCTTAAACTTCGTAAATAGTTTCATCTCATCGTAACCTACAATCATTTTATTTACGAAAACTCTCTGAATTGAGGCGTTTTCACTCTGAAGGGGGCAAACTTTGTCTATTTAATCAGGTACTAAAAACTCATAAATACCCATTTGCTTTCTACTTGAATCTTAGATAATTTGATTACAAAATCGATAAAAAATGTGGCCTACAACAATATTGTGTGGCCTACAGCAATATAACTTCGTTATTTTGAAAATTTGGGGTGTAGATCATGCCAAACCATCCAATATTTTTATAGGCCACCTTTTTTTGAGTCATTCACTCAATTTTGTGATCAAATTATCTTACGATCCAAGTAGAAAGCAAATGGGTAATTACAAGTTTTTAGTACCTAATTAAATAGATAAAGTTTGCCCCCCTCCAATTCCAAGAGTTTTCGTTAATAAAATAGTTGTAGGTTACGATGAGATGAAAATATTTACAAAGTTTCAGGCCAATGTTAATCATTCAATAAAAAGGGGTCTGTATCACTGACTAAAAACAGTTCTATCCCTTTTTCTCCTCTGTTTCTCAACCAATTTTCTTTTTTTGTTTAGTAGCTATTCACTTGTTTTAGCGTTATCAATAAAAAAATTTTGGAAGCAATGTATATAAATAAAAATGTAATTGTTAGTTTGTTCAAAACCGCTGGTCTTCAAACCTTCTTCTCAGATTGCTACGAAATTTAGCAAATTTCAATCAAATTCAGGAATGTTTTTAAACATATTTCATTACCCATCCAACCTTTGTTTCGAAATGGCGGTCAAAAAACATGATTCACTATAGATTATAGCACAAAAACGAGTTTAATGATTTTGATGAGACTTGGCTAAAATCTTCTCCTTGAAGCCCTTTTTATTTATGTATATAACATACTTCACCGAAAAGAGGCTGAAAAAAAAAAAAGTAACGATAGATTCAGAATTTTATTCTTGTATAACTCAAAAAGGACTCAATTTTTTGTTCATTAAACCTGAATATTTGAACGCTTCCTGAATACCCCGCATTATAAAAAAAAGAAAACAAAAATCATTGAAATCAAGAAGAATCATGTCCGATTAGATATTTTTATTTGTTTACATTTTTATTTTTGAAGATAACTCTATTAGACCATATTCATGTTAGAAATATAGCTATAGTATAAGTATAATTTACAAAATGAAACAATTTGTACTGACCAGAGGGAAAAAGTGGGTTCAAATATTATTTTAAGAAGAAAACAAATTGAGATTTGTAATTTACTCTAGAAAAAAACCTTCAAATATGAATTTTCATAGCAAGTTTAAACTTTTTTGCCTCAAATTTTCACTGAATGAGCGAAGTGGATTCAAATATTTTTTTGAAAAAGTAACAATGATTTCACATTTTTATTTATCAATAACTCTCAAAAAATACCCAAATGGTATAGTTTTCTTTTTTAAGTACATACAAAAATGAAATGTATGAGTATATAAGAGGAGGAAAAAAAGTGTTGGAAACGTGCAAACTCATTTATGATATCCTCAAACGTTCAATAATAATTATGGTCAAATTTCGACGAATCTGTGAATACAAGTAATGATAAGATAAAAGTTCGAACATAATTTTTCAAGTTTATACAAAATATTGATTTTAAATTATAACCAATCTCCTTTCATATATTTAAATGTTTATATATCAAGGATATCAATTGTCCGAAATGTTAATCACAACATAAATTGTCCTTTAAGATAGTAAAAGTTGAGAAGTTTAAGAGTTTGGAAAAAATTATAGATTAATGAATTCACAGTCAAACTTTTTTCCTATTAATATAATTATTTTTTATTTTTATATCTAAAATAGATTAATGGAAAGTGATAATCAATATTATATATGTGTCTATATATATATATATATATATATATATATATATATATATATATATATATATATATATATATATATATATATACCTGTTTTTTGAGAATAACCTGTATGAATCTACTAAAATTAAAATTATCAATACTATCATTGCAAATTTCAGTTAACATTTATGATTGAAATATAGTATAGTAATTTTTTTTTAATTGTTTCAGGTATCAGAAACACCGATCTTAAATCTGCTAGATAGTGCCAACCATTACGACTACCATGCGACACAACTCGACCGGTTCCTGGATGAGTACCGTACGCTCCAAAAGGAGATAAACAGGATGAAAGAAACCTGCCAGGAATTAAGAGGCTCGACTACAGCAGACTTGTTCCCTCGCTACACCTACAGGGTCTAGATGCAGTCGAGTTAATCATTCATGAGTGTTACTCATTCATATCTAGTATTCATTTGATTGGAAAAGTAAGCTCATTATAAAGCAGCATTTAAAAAAGAAATGTGGAACTAAGAGTACAACTTAATTCCTTTTTAAAATTCAGAGCTGATAATTTATGAACAAATGAGATAATTTGTCATTTGAATGATGTTTATTGTAAATGCACCCACACAGGGGCCATTAGTGTTGGCCAGTGAAGTGGCCGGACAGTATTATTTTGCTTGAGGACATTGTTGGCTTCCACTTAAAATGTTCTTGTGGTCACCAGAAGCCTGTTAAATATTGTCTGATGATGTGTAAGAGCACAGAGCAGGTTAATAAAGAGAATAAAAACACTTTTAATGAGGCTTGAATTGAAATCATAGCCTTTTTAACTGATGAATAAACTATTCATATTAATTCATATGTTATGTATTCTTATACTAGTCAAATGCTAAAAATTCTATTATGAAACCTGTCTAAACTGTATCACTATATTGATAATCAATTAATATTAAATCCTAAAAATGAAAATTATATAATAGGAGAAATAAATGAGGATGACTCTAGTCCACATGTATATTATAAATTTAAATTTATACAAATTAGGACAAACCGTGTCTAAACTGCTGTGATTGTTACGTAAACATATTTGAAATATTTTAATATAAATAACAAATTTTATGTCGAGTTCAGATCAATAACTAATTAATATTTAATAAACTCATAAATTGGTAGGGTTTGAAATAAAATTTTTATTTTTAATCAGTTTCGGAACAATAGGAATCTTTTTTTTTCGCAGTAATTTCAGAACTAGAACTTTTTTTCTAGTAGCTTTCCAATAAAGGTTTTACACAACTTTTAATTAAAAGTTGCTTTCTGAAGTAATCAATTTAGCAAAAATGTCAATCTGAAAAGTATCAATTGTGCAGTACAGTCTTAATTTGAGAATCAGACAATTCATTGAAGATAATTATATCTGTAATTTAAGCCTGAATACTGTTTTTTCTCATTTAACATAATTTTTTTTTTCAATGACTTTAATAAATAAAAGTTTCATAAAAACTTCAACCCTTGCTAAATATTTTAATACTAAAGGCGATTACTAAAAATAAATAGGTTTGATTTTATTGGCTGCCATTAACTGGCCATTAAAGCGATAATGCCCCTGCAGATGGAGACACTAGTGAGATATTTACTATCTGCCATTAATGGCACCATTTACATACAATTTAAATGGCTTCACAATAAATATTGACTATAATAAATACTACAATGAACAAAAAGTTTAATAAAAGATAAAGAGCACTGAAACGAATATTTTCAGTTTTATTAAGCATAAAGTAAACCATAAAATATTTGAATCTTTTTATGTTTTAGGATTATCTTTACAAATATATTTTTAATTGTTAATTGATGGTTTACTATAGTGAATAATTGAGGAGAAGAATGGTTGGGGTGATCAGTAAAAAAAAAAAAATAGTAAAAATAAATAATTATTTATCTTCTTATTTTTCTTTTTTTATTAGGAAGCCTACGTTTATATTTTTTTTCATATTTAATGTTGTTGATTAGTGTATCAATGAATATGAAAAGATGTGTAACACCAAAAAATAGTTTTAAAAATGTGAGAAATATTTGATTTTTGACAAATGGTGCTAATCAAAAAAAGAAAGGTAAATAATTGTACTATAGATGAAGTAGAATGATATTGTTAAAAAAAAGTTAGTATAAAATATGCATAATTTCAGTGAAGATTGCTCTGATGATGGGAAAATTGTCCCGAAACGTTAGAGATAACAAATGTAATTAAAAGAATTTGAAGAAAATTGGAAGTATTATTGCCTTAAATATGAATAAATAATCATATTTATTTTTATATTTGGAAACGTTTCGCCCCAATGTTTAGTCATTCATCAGGGCTAAGAAAAAAAACAGATAACAATAGTTTTGAGAAACTATAAAAATTGAATAATAAAGAATTATAATTAAAAAAGTGAAAGATATAGACTAAAAAATGTTGGTAGAAAAAACTTAAAGTAAAAGAAAGTAGATAGAGTGAACATTAAAGTAAAATAAAATAGTTAGAATAATAACAGCAACAGAGAATTAAGAAATAACTAATAACGGCTCCAAAATAGCTAACTTTGCAGTCCTGAAATATTATCAAAATAAATAAAAATAAAAACAAATTAAAGCAATGAGAGGAGGTGAAAGGGTTCATAATTTAATTTCCTTGAAATTATTAATTTTATTAATTAATTTAAAATTCCCTTGGAAAATTTGAAGATTTAATTAAAAACTTTTTACTATCTTTTTTTTTTTACTAATCACTCCAGCCATTCTTCTCTTCAAATATATTTTAACAAAATTTTAGTATATCTAACAAAAAATGTACTTGCCGACTTTTATATTTCAGTAATATTTTAACATTAAATTTCTCATGAAGTGTTCTTTTTACATTTTTTATTTTTCGAGTCTTGAGAAATACAAAGACAAGTTTGAGTAATGACTACGCCTTGGTCTAAACATTTTGACCAATAAATGGGTTAAAAAAAACTTTTTACATTCTAATAAGCTTTATTAAGCTAAAAGAAATAAATTAAATATATTGTATCATCCTATTTGGCAATTGTTTTAATCTTAAAATGTTTAACAGTTTTTGGCCTATTCAAGGTCTGTTTTACGAAAAATGTCAAAATACAAATTTTATTATTTAGCGAAGTCAATTGTTGTAATTAAAACTATAAACCTATTTTAGGTAAACAAATTTTTGAATTAAAATGAATCCGATTAAAGTGATAACAAAAGTTAATGTATTTTGAAAACCCTATATATGTATCAACAAATATTAGAAAAAATAAAAATCAACAATTTACACTGAAATGAAATTGAACATTAAAAGGTTCTAAAATGCTATAATATATTTAATGTATAATATATATATATATATATATATATATATATATATATATATATATATATATATATATATATATATATATATATATATATATATATATAAACATATGTTCATAGATTAATATGACCTATTTATATAAGTTTCATCGATATATATATATATATTTATCAATGATGTAATCTTATGCCACACAGGTATGAATTCATGGTTTACTTATCGATTGCTTTCATGGAACAGTTTATGTTGAAGTATGTTTTTAGGTTGAAAAATGGATGAAAACAAGACTTTCCTATGGTTATATTTAATTTATTATTATTTAATAAATATTTTAAAATAATACAGGCTTAGTACATAAGTCTAGTTTTTAGTTTTCAAAGCTAATTCTTGCAAACATAAACTACGTTACAGTACATTCTATTTTAATTTTAGTTTGTAATTAAAGTTTAAATTTGGCTTTGTCAGTGCCAATACAACACTTTCGACCATCGACTCACAGGCGTTGATGACCCCAGGGTTTTACACCTTAAAGCCTAAATAAACAAACACTTTCGACCACTATTCTACTGACCAATTTGCATGTGTTTTGCCACATTATATTCGTTTGTTTGTTTTGTTTCCTTAATATGAGTTTTCTAGCAGCTATATTGCCTTTTAAACCACAACCACAAAGATGGTGTTGCACAGTACTGAATTGCCTTCCCTATGTATTACAGCAATAATGCCACATTTTTTAACACTCACTTTTGGTGACTCATATTTCTATAATAAACCCTTTAAACATTTTTTTGTTTTCAATGTTTAAAAGCTATTCTACTTACCTTAGAATGAATCTCAGAAAATAAATGGTAAATATAGTACAAATTAATGGAATTGTCATAGCTACACTATTATTAGTTGACTTGATCAATCATAAAATAAAAATTGAAGAGATCCTGAAGGAAAAGTAAGTAGTTTCAAGTTGAAAGAGGAATAGGAGAATGTTTATGTTTAGTATGTTATCTCTTGAGTTATAATTATTTTATTAATCTCGAAGATTATGAATTAAATACAAGTGAGTCTAAACCTTTGACCTGTACTGTATATATTAACTACATTATTATATTTCTTAAAGAAAAAGAAAATTACGAGAAAGAATAAAACATGTCGTTAAAAATCATTTAACTTTGATTTCATAACCTGTGTGGCTAATCTCAAGATGTGCCCATATTTATGGAATAAATTTGAACAAACTTTGAGCGCGAATTCACCGTGCGGCTGTGCTCTTAATGTGAATACAATGTACATACTTTTTAAGAGAAGATGATATCTTCGATAATATTTTTATGTCAATCGTTGACAACTTCCAACATATCAAAGGTCTGTTTTTCTCTCTTTAGTATCTGATAAGATTATGTATATATGTATGTACCAATGAGAAGTAATAACAAAAAAAGTAAACAGTTTTTCTAATAAAGTCTAACTGTGAATTTTCTGTATATAATTGACAGAGAACTGGTTTTTATGCAATCAAATATTTTTTTAAAAGTAGTTAACAAATGGGGTTGGTACAAAGATCATTTTAAATTAACAAGAAACTTTGAAATGAAAAACCTGTATTAAATTTTTTGTATAAATCAGTTAAAAATTCACCAAGAGACAGAAATTCAATGTTAGGTTATATTTGTAAAAACTCTAACCACATGGCCTTATTTTCTAAAATGCAGATAGACAGAAGAGAAAATCGTATCACTCTATAATATCCAAGTTGTGGAGTGATGTGATTTCGATTTGCTTTTCTTTTTTTTTTTCCTGATAATGTCTGAATTGGCGAAATGTGGACAACTTTTTTTATTCCTCACTTGTATTTTGGACACATAAAGCTGTGTGGTTGGAATTTTTACGATTGTAACCTAACATTAACTTTTGTTTATTTATTAATTTCATTTGTTTCTTTTTTTTTTTTTTTAGTTCTTTCATATTAGACATTTTTGTTTCCTATTTTTATTCATATATAAAATATTATGGGTTTTAAAACAATTTGGGTATTCTGATTTCATATATTACATTTTTTACTAAATTCTTTAAAATGTATTTTAAAATATTACACTGCATAAAAATCTGATCTCTGGTAATCGAATATATTTAATTAAAAACTGATGATAGTGTTTCAAATATCAACAAATATGTATATTTAAAATTGTGTGCGAGTATGTTAAGGATGTAAATGTGAATGGCTTATATAATGCAGAAAAGTATTATGGAATGTTAAAAAGACACTTTATACATTCAGCACAAGTTTCATTTATGTTTCATACATGTTTATAAATGTTATATGGAAAAATATATGTAAATGTTATGACCATTAAAGAAATTTAAGTCATTTGTTGTTATTTTCACACATATCAAAGTACTATTTATGCTCTTGATGTTTGACAAAGTTGTCTGTTTTTGCGCAGTTCTTTGGTAGACCTTTAAAAAAAAAAAAAGATCTAAAATATGAAATCTTTTAATCTGTCGTTTAAATAAATGTACTCGTGGTGAATATTTGACTAAATAAATACTCCATCAATTGCTATGCTGTGTATTGCATATCAAAAAAAAAATTTAAAGACCAATAACT